GGAAAATATATATACATATATTTCTATACAGATCAATATTGATTTATAGCTAGCTTATATCTCTCTCAATATATATATGACTTTGTGTACGGGCGTGTGTATGTGATTGTGTGAAAGAGTGTGTGTGTGAGAAATATACGCCCACAAAATCACTGGCAATATCAAGATCCAGAAGCTGATCGTCCCCCTGGGTAATATTCATCTTCTAAGAAGGACTCTGTCTATCTATCCACACACACACACACACACACACACACACATATATATATATATAACGTATGTATGTAATTATATGCGTAAATGTGTAGGCATAAAAATAACGCATAGGGAGAGATTTATTTTAATGGAGGTGTCATATTTCTTGGCTCCATGTTTTCGAGTAGACATACTTACTCACCTAGGCAATCGAAAGTCTTGTTTTAGATAATCTACCCCTCAGCAGGGATCGAACTTCCGACCCTTTTATTCTGGGTAAAACGACGGGAAAAGAGAACTCAATTTCAGTCCGTGCCCAAAGGCTCATATTTTTTATTATACTTTTTATTACAGGTGTTAGTTTGACTTTTTAAAATAATAATAATGATAATAATAATAATAAAAGCAGAGATGTCTACTAAAACACGTGTACCGAATAAATACAATTTTTACAGCAATAAGAAATAATGGTCCAAACAATCCATCAGTTACTTAAAAATTACGATGTAGTCTAATAAAATAATAATCAGTATATGAAAAGAGTTTCTGTATTTTTGTCTATATTGTTGCAGTATAATCCACAGGTGGGCTCTGTTAGTGTTGAAGGAATGTGCCTGAGCAGGTGTATGCGGCAGGCATTTGCTAGCCGCCCTAATAAATGGTGTGCTCGAAAAACTCGTGTCGTAGGACATTATATATATCTTAAGTTTAAGATATATATATATACTTAAGATATATATATATATATATATATATATATATATATATATATATATATATATATATATATATATATATATATATATTAGTGGTAAATATACACATACATATGAAAATATATAAATATATATACACACATGCATACACTTATTGGATCCTATTTACGATTCCAATGGAATAAATTATGACCATGGAATATTATATTTTATTATATATAAATATATATATATATATATATATATATATATATATATATATATATATATATATATGTGTGTGTGTGTGTGTGTGTGTGTGTGTGTGTGAAAAGTGTGTGTATATAAATATAAATAAATAAATATATATATATATATATATATATATAATTATTTATATATTAATGCACGGTACTTATTAAAAGCGCTATCCAACCAAATATACACACACACACACACACATATATATATATATATATATATATATATATATATATATATATATATATATATATATATAGTGAACATTGAATCAACGCTCGGAGGCGATTAGCTGTTTCATGCTGGACAGCCTGACGATTGCATCCAGCATGAAACAGCCTGTCGCCTCTCAGTGTTGACTTCAATGTTCACTTTATATTTATATTTACATACACTCCATCTCTGATATTGAACACTTTATCCCATAAATATAGCATAACGTAAAACTATATTTCTTCATATATATATATATATATATATATATATATATATATATATATATATATATATATATACTTAAGATTATCGCACAAAATTTCATAACTGAATCAACTAAGTTGTCACATCTTTATACGTCGAAACCGACGGGAGAGTCCATTATTATTATTATTATTATTATTATTATTATTATTATTATTATTATTATATTATATACACATGATTAATATTTAATAAATGTTTATCGTACTGATTATATTGGTAGTCTTTCGTTTGTCCTTGTTTTATTAACTAAGCTGCCTTATTTTACACACGCACACATACGCACACACACATCATAAACGTGATCATTACACAGGCCGATGTGGCTTGATTGATTGATTGATTTGCTTTTTACGGTTTTAAAGCCAGTAAACATTTTTAGATTGGAAGAAGTTTTGGCAGACAATAATCATTTACTAGTATTACTAATTTACCCATAGCTGGGGGAGAGCTGGAGTAAGTGAATATAATGAACCCAACCGGAATTGGAACTCGGCAACCATTCCTGCCACCGGTATATCTATGCTTACAGCTGTTGGTATTCTCAAGAATTCGCCTATCTCGGTACTGAGCAAGCTTGACGTTGCTTAACTTCGACAACCACAGTAGAGTCGCTGCGACTGCAATATATCCCTCTCTCTAATTTTACAAACATAGTTTAGAGATTAATAAATAATTGACCGCTCCTTTGTATTATGTTGAGAGATGCGTAAAGTACATACACAGACAGACACATCAAAACGCCACACACACCCACAAACACACACATGCACACACACACACACACACACATATATATATATGTATATATTTATCGCTATATATATATATATATATAATACATATACATGCATGTATATATATATATATATATATATATATATAAAATATAAAGTATGGCACAGCAGAGTGTTAGTGGAAAGAAAATGGTGCAGAAGTGAATATTTTATTTATTATTATTATTATGCGTGTGTGTGTGTTGTGTGTGTTTGTGTGTGTGTGTGAAAAGTCATAGTCTTGTCAGTCATAGTCTTGCCTAGTATGTATATATATATATATATATATATATATATATATATATATATATATATATATATATATATATATATATATATATATATATATATATATATATATATATATACATACATAAAGGCTATATATATAAATAGAGACTATATATATATATATTTATATATATATATATATATATATATAAAAGCTGTATATATACATGTATAAAGGCTATATATATATATATATATATATAAAGTCACTTTCTCTATATATATAATATATATATATATATATATATATATATATATATATATATATATCTCACACACACACATATATATATATATATATATATATATATATATATATTGTCACGTCAATGGCTGTGCAAGGAGAGATTTGACAGGAATCTGTATACGAAACTCTAGAGCCAGATTGGTGAAAATAACATCAAACGGCCAAGGTGACAAGTTTCATATATATATATA